CTCTCTCTCTCTATTTCAACAATTTTCTTTTTCTTTTTGTTTGAAATTGAAACCCAAACTTTTCTCTTGACATCTTTCTCCTGTTCTCGATCTTTTTTCAGTGAAATCTATCGTTTCTTGATATTTCTTCAAATTTTTCTTTTAAAGAAAGAGAATTTTTGGTTGCTGTCCCTTCAATAACCACATACACGCATTTCTTTTCCCAACGAACCAAGGAAAAGATAGATTTTTTGTGAATATATTTTGACGTAATTCTTTGAAAATCTTTCATTTTGTAGCTTCAATGCTTTAGAATTGATTTAAGGCAAGAAAAGTTTGAGTAGGATTCACGATTGTTCTAATGGGAATCTTTCTGAACCAGGCTTTTGGCTTGATTGAGCTTTGCCTCTTTTATAGGCCCTTAATCGGTTTGAACAACTATAGTTAACCCAGGTATTCCCTTCTTTCTTTCTTTCTTTCTTTTTTTTTTGCCCTTCTTCCCCCTTATCTTTCCTTCTTTCTCTTAGCAATAGTACCGGATAGTTTAGTGGTTAGAGCGATTGCCTGGAAAGTAAGAGTTGAATCAAGGTTCAAAGCAAGGTCGAGGGTTCAATCCCATCTCCAGAAATCTACTTTTATCAATTCCTTTACTTCTTTATTAAACTCTAACATCAGTTAAAGCTAAATTGCGAGAACTCCGATGTCCCTTAGGCCAATTGAAACTTAGGACTTTTAGCTGGTCAAGAAATCGATCGAAATATAGGATAGATCTTGCTTTGTATTTTATAAAAGATTAACTGTAAAGTATGCAGTAGCTATCACAAGAATATTACTATGCCGATCGTGCCGTGTCGATCGTGAAGTGCCGATCGTGCCGTACCGATTATGAAGTGCCGATCGTGCAGTGCCGATCGTGCAGTGCCGATCGTGCCGTGCCGATCATGAAGTGCCGATCGTGCAGTGCCGATCGTGAAGTGCTGATCGTGCCGTGCCGATCATGAAGTGCCGATCGTGCAGTGCCGATCGTGAAGTGCTGATCGTGCCGTGCCGATCATGAAGTGCCGATCGTGCAGTGCCGATCGTGCCGTGCCGATCGCAACCGATCGATCGAATCAATTTTTTTTCTACTCCTACAAAATTCGCCTCTGCCGGTTGCCCAATTTTGATTTTTGATTTAAAAGTCAGCCTCTTCATGAGTCTAAACAAAAACTGACATATCAGATTGTTTTGCAGTGACTTAACCGTTCAACTTTTCATCGAAAACCTAAAAAAGAGCCAGTTCTAAAGTTTGATAACTTTATTTGAGTTTTATTTGAGTTTTTGAATCTCCAACGCAGTTGTTTTGACAGTTAGACAGACTTTGACAGACTTCCTCCAACTACCTCCAACTACCTCGTCTCACCAATTCCTTTGAAACATCATATCTTTGAAATTCCTACGATTTTCTTCAGTTTTGATTGTTTTTTTTTGATCAAGTTTTATTCTATAAAACATGAGAATTTTCAGGTGAATGCCTCGACACACTTGTTAACATACTTTTCCCTTCACAAAATATTCTCCCCGCGCGTCCCCCCCGCTCTACAGCGCCAAGAGTCACTCCCTTTACAAAAGTTGGTGAGTTTCAAAAAAAAAAATGATAACTTTGTAATAAGTTTGACAATATAGATAGAGTTTAAATGGTAAACGTTTTGTTTATAGATTTGTTTATAGATTTGTTTATAGATTTGTTTATAGCTTAGTTTATAGCTTAGTTTATAAATTAGTTTATAGATTAGTTTATAGATTAGTTTATAGATTAGTTTATAGATTAGTTTATAGATTAGTTTATAGATTAGTTTATAGATTAGTTTATAGATTAGTTTATAGATTAGTTTATAGATTAGTTTATGCTTTGTTTATAGATTTGTTTATAGATAAATCAAATAGTTTTAATCTTAAATCTAGCGCACTTTATCTCAGGTTCGGAATAAAGTATCTATATAAAATAGATCATAGTTCAGTTAGGTAGAAAGCTGTCACAAAAGGACAGAATATTTAATGCCAATCACTGGATAAAGCTACTGAAATTTCACGTTTCAAAGGAGCTAATTTAAAGGAAAATTCTAAATGATTTTCTAAATGATGAAATCAGTTAGCAAATTCTGTTCTTATTCTTGATACTTTTAAAGTATGCAATGAGTGCTTTGCGATAAACTAAACTCATTGAAATGTTAGAAGTTTTGATCTAGTTTATCTAGTTTATCTTTAATAAGTTCTCGAGTCTTTGTTTAGCTTAAATTACGATATTTTTGGCTCTAGATTGCTTACCGTAAATACTGTAATTGGACCCCACCCCCATAATGACGGTGCGGAGTGTTGCGTAGTCTAGCTTTGAACGAGTTTTTCTCGACACTGGTTTATGCTACAATGCGCGCTTAGGTATCAAAAAATAGCCCTGAATTTCAGCTATTTTTTGATACCAAAGACGCATTTTTTGAAAGTACGGGTGCTTTGAAAAAAATGAAATACTAAAAAACTTTGGCGACTAGGCGACTGTACGAGGGGAGTGGGGTACTATTACAAAATTTACGGTAGGTTTATCATTTATTTGTTAAAATCGACATTTCTTAAACAGTTTAAACATTGCTTAGTTCAATTGGATTAGAATTGGCTTCAATTGGATTAGAATTGGCTTCAATCTGCTTAGAATTGGCTTCAATTGGCTTAGAAGCTCTCAGAAGTTCTCAACAGCATCAACTGTTCCCCAGAATGTTTTACTGAAGTCTTAAACAAATTCTAAAGCCTCCGATTTTACTAAATTTACTGTTTCCATATTTTATTTATCCTAGATCTTACGGCAAAATCGATATTCGACTCTTTTACTCTCCCCCTTTCTCCCCCTTTCTCCCCCTTCCCCTTCCCCTTCCCCCTTCCCCTTCCCCTTCCCCTCCCGTTTTCTCCATTGAGAAAAGGCTTGGCCGATCGCCAACAAAGTCTTCGTTTTTCGTTTTCCCCAAACATCCCAAACACTCCCTGCACATCATTTCAATAAAGTAATATAATAAATAGTCTGTGGTGGAGAATATTTCATGTAAGTGATTGTTTTTGAATCTTTAAGTTCAAGCCATGTAGATAAAAAAAAGATAAAAAGCTATATAGCTATAAAAAGATAAAAAGCTTAGATAAAAATCCATGTTTCAACTTTAAACAAAATTCTTTTAGGATTCGATTTCTAATCTCTCTTGGAATTTAATCCGTTTAATTTCAAAAACAAGAATGAGAAGCGTTACTGATTTCTTTTTTTTTTTTTTTCGTCGTAGCATTTTTGCCTAAGAATTTTATTTGAAAGCGAAAAATTGTAGATTTTTTACAGCATTTTCTCTCGCGAATGATTTATTGGAGGTGATTTGTAGTCAGAGAGGGGCAGAGTCAGCACGGAGAGCAAGTCAATTATCGAAAATCAAAGCCCCCGAAAAAAAATGGATGAAGAATTTGCAAATGGGGAAAAGGGGAAAAAGGGGGGGGAGGTGTAAACAAGCGTTGCAAGTGTAGGGAAAACCGCAAAATCCAGCGGTTGAGGGTGATTCTCAAAAATATTATTCGGTTGTTCGGTCATCCCAAAAATGTATCTAAAAATACAGTAAAGTTCTCGGATTTTAACTCGTATACAGCGTGCTGAATATCTTGGCTGGTTGGCTGAAACCCTTTTCTTCATGGGTACCGTATTTTCTCTAATAGTAGTGCATCCTAAGCTTCGCCTAAATTCCTCGAAATCTCAAGAACCGTTTATCAGAATCTATCGATGTGGGGTCGGAAAATGTAGCTGACGATGAGATCTAGTGGAGGATTAGTGAGAGGTACAAGCAGTATAAATCAGGAAGCCAGTCACAATTGTTCAAGCTGAGCCTGGCCTATAGGAAGCCCTGAGTGTCCGTCAGTCAGAGCTGACTCTAGATCTGGCTAGCTGACTGTAGCCTGTCTTTCTGCCTGCTTGGAACATAGCTACCGGATTCTCTCTAATAGCTGTGCACCCTGAGCGTCGCCTAAATCGCTCGTAATCTCGAGAAGCGCTTATCAGAACCTATCGATGTGGGGTCGGAAAATGTAGCTGACGATGAGATCTTGTGGGGGATTTGAGTGTTGAGTGTTCTGCAAGAGCTTGGAAGCCGTAAAATAGTGATCAACTCGGCTCGCCGGGGTGCACTACTATTAGAGAGAATACGGTAATGTGGTCAGATTCGGACGTCACAGCAATATATGCTTTTCCAACACCTTTTTTATAATAAACAGAGTTCATTTTGTTTGTTATGAACCCGATACCGATTAATTTCCCTTTTTAGCAAATCCTTTTTAGATATTGATGTGAAAATATCGAAAATTAAATTACTTTAGAAAGGAAACTCAAACTTTGTTTACTTTAAGCGATTTGGGACTTCTTTTATTCAGAATATTCAGAAATATTCAGAATATTGGGAATATTCAAAATTAGAATACTCAGAATTCAAATTTCAGAAGCGCCGATCTCACCAAAGTCTCTCCGCCGATCGAATTCCTCTCAGTGATCGGGATAAAAGAATCATCAATTGACCGCTACCTGAGATCTCTTTCCCTTTCCTCTCTCCACTTTCCTCTCTCTCTCCAAATACGGGTCCCTGCTTTTGTGTGTGAACACACAAAACAACGATAATAAAACTTGCAATAATCGGTGAGTTTATAAGAATTTAAACGTTTAGATTTCTTTTTGACATTTAACCCATTCGAAACCGCAGCGTTTTTTCTTTTTTTTCGTCTGCCGACCAAGCCCTTTTTTGACATTTTTTCGCTGCAGCAATTATTCGCTGCAGAAGTTTCGAATGGGTTAAAAGCTTGAGAAACAAAAATATAAAATAGATTTTAAAACATAAAAAAAGACTTTGATTAAGAGATCGACTTTTAAAACAATTTGAAAAAATTTGAAACTGAAACTTTTTTAGCATCAAAATTTCTGCGCGTAGCTTTGTTTCGTTAAAATTTCGACAACATTTCCTATTTCTAGATACAAGATGATCGGCAAACTGATGAACTCGTTCAAGCGACAAACAATCAATGATAGCAAGGTGAGCGAGAATGGGAGAGCATTCGTTTTTTGATTCAACTTATTTGGAAAGTTGGAATTGGAAAGTTGCATTGATTTTGAAAACTCGTCTAGCAGACTGAAAAAACAGCAGACTGACGTCTAGCAGACTGACGTCTAGCAGACTGACGTCTAGCAGACTGACGTCTAGCAGATTGACGTCTAGCAGATTGACGTCTAGCAGATTGACGTCTAGCAGATTGACGTCTAGCAGATTGACGTCTAGCAGACTGACGTCTAGCAGTTTCTAGCAGACTGACAAATTCGCTTTTTGAAATTGAAACTCGACATTGAACAAAGATTAAAGAAACTTGATATCGTAAGGTGAAGCGATACAAATTTAGAATCTGACACTGAAATACCATGGATAGATAGTTGAATGGAAGTAATATCTACTATATATCTACTCTATATAAAAAGCAGTGTCTGTCTGTCTGTACAGGCGTTTTCTCAGTGATGAATGAGTACAAATCTAACTATGCACAGTTTAAGGGTAAAATATTATTAATAGTTTGCTTAAAATAAAAGCTTTATAGATGATTTGTTTAAAGAAAAGCTTTGTAACAAGTTAGTAAATCTTGTTAGTTAGTAAAAGTTAGTAAAAGCAACTAGGTGATTAATTAGGCAATTAGTTGGGTATTGTTTTGCGAATTGATACAAATTTACCAAAACAAATAAGCTAACAAATATTCTAGATTATTAGCTAAATAAAATGAATGGAATGAATGGAATGAAAAGAGCCGAACAACTAATTGAGTCGATAACCTCAGGAAAACTAGCAAATTTGAAACTAGCTTTTTTTTATGGCTCCTTTTCTTGTTCTTAGGTGGATCTAAGGTTCTTAGGTGGATCTTTTTGACTGAAAAATCAACAAGAAAAATCTCTGTGCTATTGAAATATAAATACTTTATTTAGAAAGAAATAAAGTGCGAAAATGACATGAAAAATGTACCAGATAAAAGATGACAAAGTCACTTAAAATGTAACGGAGTAGCCTGTTTTAAAATCAGACCATTAAAATGGAGATCAAACGCAACTTGTCGGGAAGGCCATTCCAAACTTTAATCACACGATTTACAGGAAAAAGCTCTAGAGGATTTAGAGAAAGCAGATTGCAATGGATGCAAGATAAAAGAGGCACGCCTCGCTGAAAAATGTAGCAGATAAAAGATGACAAAGTCACTTAAAATGTAACGAAGCAGCCTGTTTTAAAATCAGATACGGTGGAGACCTAAATGAATGTAAATTTTGAAAATCAAATTCATTTTAGACAAACGACGAAGAACCACCGGTTGTCACCGCTAAAAACGCTGAAGCCGAAAAACCGAAAACTCCGCTAAGGAAAAGCGCTCGGCTAAGCGCACAAAAGGTAAGTTTTTAAAGCTTTTTGCTTAAAGCTTTAAAGCTTAAAGAAAAAGCTTTAAAGCTTAAAGGAAAAGCTTTTTGATTGTTTAAAAAAAGCAAGATTTTAAAAAAAATCTATAATATTAAACGAATTATAATTGAAAAAATTGTGATTTACTGCAACAAAAAGCTCTAAAAGGCGTTAACTTCGGTTTTCCAATTACAAATCAAACTATAAGTTTTTGTTAAGATGCTGTAGATAGCAGTAAAAAGCTTTAAATTGTTTTAAATGAAATTAAAATTAAAATTCTAATATTTTTAGAGTAATCTCCACGATTCGGGCACTGAATCGGATGATGAAGAGCTAGAAAGACTCGAGAAAGAAAAAGGTGGGCTTGAGAAGAAAGGCTTGAGAAGAAATTTAAGTTTCAACTTTAATCAGATATTGAAATCAAATCCTGAAATAATAAAGCCAAGAGACACATTTCGCTTTGTACACTTTAGTGCCAAAGTTTCAGTTTCAAAATTGACCATATGATAAGTTGAATTCTAGAAATAAACCAGACAAAAGCTCAAAAGCTCAAAAGCAATCATTTCAAATTTTAGTCTGCGATGAGACGGCGAAAATCTACGGTAATTTCTTGAATAGCCGCTCTCCACCAACGGCTTTTCTCGGCTCACCGCCGTTCGTCTCCGAGTTGGACACGGAAAGGTTTACACTTTGAAATTTTTGAAAAACTAAATCTAGATGGCTTTTATATGCAATTTTTTCTATTGTTTATTGCTATTCCTCATCAATCTGGCTAGTTAGGCTACAGTACTGGACAATGAGAATGACAATGACAATGACAAATATCATATTTGAAAAACGATCGTCTTTTTCGCTCGTCTGTAACTCTAGAAATTTTAAAAGCAATTCCTAAATCTAGATGACTTTTATATGCAATTTTTTCTATTGTTTATTGCTATTTGCGAATTCCTCTCAGTGATCGGGATAAAACAATTATCAATTGACCGCGAACTGAGCCTTTGACCTCATCAACCTGGCTAGTTTAATCTACAGTACTGGACAATGACAATGACAATGACAAATATCATTATTTGAAAAACGATCGTCACTTTCCCATCTTGTGCGCGCTGAAATGCGTCAAAAAAATACCGTATTTCTGAATATTAATTTTACCATTGTGTAGCCCTTGAAAAGAGCTTTCAGAAAATGTATAACACTAATAGTTTAAACTCAAAGACAACGGAGTTACAGGCGCGCGAAAGTGACGACCATTTTTCAAATATCATATTTCATTGTCCATTATTGTAGGTCAAAAAAAGAGTGTTTCAAAATTTTTTACCTCAATTTGAACTCGTCTGCTTTAATCCAGTCTAATTTCAGCAACTTTTTTTAATATCATTTTGCACATTTTGCACATTTTTAATATCATTTAATATCATTTTGCATCTTTCATCTTTCTAGTGACTTTACCGTCTTTCATTTTTATTTATATAATGTTTATTGATTTTAAGTTACCTAAAGAATTCCAGATTTCATCAATCTTTTCTTTAAACTTTAAAATGTCCCAGTGACTAGTAGTTTCAGTAGTTTGACTAGTAGTTTCCAATTCTGCAACTCCAAATTGAGTTTTGTTGCTTTAATTTCTTTCATGTGTAAGTAAATCCAATCTAATCGATCTTTTATAGTAAGTAAATCCAATCTATTAGCATTGTTCTAGAATTTCAGCCTTAATTAGTTGGATTGGCCTGAAAATCTGGCTCTTTAGAAAATCTGGCTTTTTAGCAACCCTGGCCTTAACTCTGGCTCTCTTTTTAGCAACCCTGGCCTTAACTCTGGCTCTCTTTTTAGCAACCCTGGCCTTAACTCTGGCTCTCTTTTTAGCAACCCTGGCCTTAACTCTGGCTCTCTTTTTAGCAACCCTGGCCTTAACTCTGGCTCTCTTTTTAGCAACCCTGGCCTTAACTCTGGCTCTCTTTTTAGCAACCCTGGCCTTAACTCTTAAAACGAATCGATCAATCGATCGAGAGGGAACTTTTTCCACATAGGGTGAAAGGGGGAAAATGGAAACATTGTGTGTTGTGTGTGTGTGTGTGTTTGGATGGATGAAAATCGAGAAATGGGAGAATTGTTTGGAGTGAAGGGGAGGAGAGTGTATTCGATAGTGAAAAGAAAAGAAAAAGAAAAGAAAAAAAGGGGAAAGAAGTCGCTTCCCTTGACATAGAGAAAAGACAACGAGTGAGTCAATCGATTTCTCGTCACTTTACTGAGTTTGTGTGAAGTGTATGATTGTTTAAAACATTGTCATTTTCAAAAAAGTCTTCTTATAGTCTTATGGTCTTCTTAGATCAAGGACAAATTTGAAATCAGCTCATCCATTTGTTTTTAGAGCTGTTGATAGAATTTTAGGCCTAATAATTTGCTGATTTTGTTGACAAAACGAGATTTTAATTACAGTCTCTTTAAAGGAATGGAAGGGATCAAAAAAAATGTTTTCTTTATAGCTTAGCATCAATCAGAACCAAGCTTTCATTCTGTTATATAGAGTTTTTTCGCTTTATATTCTGTTATATAGAGTTCCGTTTTTTCGCTTTCATTCTGTTATATAGAGTTCCATTATAGAGAGTTTCCGTTTCCGTCGACTGTAAAATCTAAGCTGAAGCTCGAATTGTTTCAAAAATTCATCTAGAAGCTTGAATTTGAAACTGATTTATTAGAAATCTCGAGTCAAGTTGAAACTTGAAACTTTTGGCGACTTTTCGTCAACTTAGCCAACGTTTTTCCAAACACTAGAACAAACTAGGACAAACAATCAAACACTAGAACAAACACTAGACTTATAACTCTGCTTGGATTGTTTTTAACCCAAAAACTCTTTTTTTTCAACTAGTTGATAACTAAAAATCGGCAAAAGAACGAAACTAGATAGTTATCGAATGGAAAGGAAAAAAAGGAAAGAAGAAGAAGAAGAAGAAGAAGAAGAGAAGTCATAATTTCGACGCTATAAAGAAGTGTTGGGGAAAAGGAAAAGAACAGGGGAAAAGGAATGAGTGAGGTGGGTGAGGGGAAAAAGGGAAAAAGGGGCACGCTGCGGTGGGCGACTCGGCAAGGGTAGACACACAGCGTAGGATATCGGGGTGAGACGGGGAGAAGAGGGCAACATCCACACCACCCCTTCTTTTCCTTTTCTCTCCACTACTCGTTCTTCTTTTCCTTCACTCATCATTGTTGCATTTTAACTGCTCTTGAACCAATGGAGTATCTACTGTAAATAGTCTAATAGAAGCCCTATAGGAACGTCGAGTAGTCTAAGTCTAAGCCTAAGTTTAAGTCTAAGTCTAAGTCTAAGTCTAAGACTAAGTCTAACTCTAAGTCTAAGTCTAACTCTAATTCTAAGTCTAAGTCATCGTCGTGTCGTCACTCAAAGAATTGTTCATATCTTAGCACTAGTCGGCGTGAGTCAATGTTTTAAAATTGAAAATTTCCAGCTGGGATAGCACGGGTGGCGAGTCGGGGATTACAGCCGGGTTCGAGTCGAACGATTGCTCGCGTGAGTCAGTCGATTGTCCAACACCACCGCAAATCGACGATGGAATAAGACGGGGAGCATTTCAGAGGACTGGTTCGTCGAAAGTGAGTTATGAATTGAAAATTTCAGAAATCAGTTAAATCAACTATTGAAACATTCATTGAAAAATCATAAAATATGTATTTTTATTTGCAAAACGAAAAAAATCATCTTGAAAAACCCCTTAAAGAAAATGAAATGAATCTTTGAACTGATACAATCAAAGTTTTGCGCACGATAGATGATTTCAAATCAAAGAAATAAAATTTCTAGATGATTTCTAGAGATTCTAGATGATTTCTAGAGATTCTAGATGATTTCTAGAGATTCTAGATGATTTCTAGAGATTCTAGATGATTTCTAGAGATTCTAGATGATTTCTAGAGATTCTAGATGATTTCTAGAGATTCTAGATGATTTCTAGAGATTCTAGATGATTTCTAGAGATTCTAGATGATTTCTAGAGATTCTAGATGATTTCTAGAGATTCTAGATGATTTCTAGAGATTCTAGATGATTTCTAGAGATTCTAGATGATTTCTAGAGATTCTAGATGATTTCTAGAAATTCTAGATGATTCTAGATGATGATGAAATGATTTTCAGGCGGCTTGCGAGTTCCCACCGATGTCCATGCATAATACGGGTGAGAAAAGGCGGCATTCGATGACATTGACAGCACTTTGCCCGCCACAACAACATCAACAACAAAACCAACAGCACCATCAACAACACCAACAACACCATCAACAACAGACAGTCGATCCGCCGATCGCCTCGAGACTTCGAAGCAATTTTGGTGAGTTTTAAATAAAAAAAAAGCGTATTAAGCCTCAATCTCACTAAATCAGGGAGAAAAATCCATTGAATTCTCTGGAGAAATGGAGAAAAGTTTTATAGTAAGTAAATTCAATCTATTAGCATTGTTCTAGAATTTCAGCCTTACTTAGTTGGATTGGCCTGAAAATCTGGCTCTCTTTTCAGCAACCCTGGCCTTAACTCTTAAAACGAATCGATCAATCGATCGAGAGGGAACTCTTTCCAAATAGGGTGAAAGGGGGAAAATGGAAACATTGTGTGTTGTGATCAAGTTGAACTTGAACATCTATCAGAAATCTATCAGAAAAGTTATCAATGTTTCAATTGAAAGAACAATTCTTTGAAGATTGTCAAGTAATCTCATTGCTTATCTCATTGAAACTTCAATTTCTATCCTTTCTATTCAATTTCTATCCTTGAAAGAAACCTTTTTACAAAAATCAATTAATATTTAACAAAAATTTTCTATTTAATTTAAATCTAAACTTTTAAAAAAATAAAGAAATTCCTTGAAGCACATGGAAATTTGATACTCAAAAGATTTCTTAGTGAAAAATGGAAAGCATTTGTTTTGGGAAAATTGTTGGAGAGATTTTGGACATACCGTATTCTCTCTAATAGTAGTGCGCACTACTATTTTTTGAACCCCCTCCTGGACCGCAATACCATTAGGGAGTGCAGTGCTATTAAAGAGTTTTATCATTTACCAAAGTAAGACAGATATAAACTTTATTCCAAAAATTCTTGCAACTCTTTCACGTACTCCTTTGGCTCCTTTTGACATACAGTTGTGGGCCGGCGAGTTGACAATTTGTGGCTTGACAAAGAACAAAAAGATGTTTTTGCACTTTGCACAACAATTTTAGATTTTTTGCGAACTTTTTCATGTGAAGAATAGCTAATAAATGAATAAAAAAAATCCTCACTTTTGCTTGCTTGAATAGCTTTAGAATGTCACATAAACATAAAGTCAAAAAGGTTTAGATGAAAAAGAAGCACCAGAAATTCAAATTTTCGAGGGTGCACTACTATTTTTTTAACCCCCTCTCGGACCGCAATACTATTAGAGAGTGCACTACTATTAGGTTGTCCAATAAGTAATGCGTGTTACTTATTTCGAAACTATTGCGAAATCGCTTCGAGCAAATATATGCTCTTTTTAATCATCAGCATCTTGTGTTTATTTTTATATATTATTTTATTCATTTGCCTTTGTTTTATAATAGATATGTTGTTTTGCAGATGAAAGACAAAAAGTTTGTTGTCCGCGCATCAATGCTGTATGATTTCAAACGAGGGAAAACTGCAGCGGATTGCCATCGAACTATCTGTGCCGCATTTGGAGAGGATTCAATTTCAATCAGCCAGTGCCAGCGCTGGTTTAAACGATTTGCGGGCGGAAACGAGTCGTTAGAGGACGAGGAACGCGCTGGAAGGCTGGAATTTCTTCTCATCGAAACCAGCTTCATTCTATTATGACGGACTTCACTCTTTGCTCGGACGATGGAGAAATGTTGTTGATTGTTGTGGAGAATATATCGATTAATAAAGTTTTCTTTTGTTAATTTTGTGATATTTTGAAAATCATGTCAAAACACGCATTACTTATTGGACAACCTAATATTAAAGAGTGCACCTCTATTAGAGAGAATACGGTAATAGCAATGAAGTGCAATGAAATCCAATGAAATCAAATGAAATTCAATGAAAAATGTCGCTAAAATGAATGCTTAAATCAATTTTGAGTTGAAAAATTTGAAACATTAAAGTCAAAACCAATAAGAAAAAGATTAGCTTTAAAAAAATTTATAAGAAATTGGGAAAATATTAAATGAGAAAAGTTTCCAGTTTGCTATTCAAATGAATTCATTGGATAGACGTTTGGAACTAATTTTATTTTCATATTTTTAGAGACTCCTCGTGAGATTGCGGTGGCGGCTCGTCGAACGCCCGTCCGTGTACTCGTCAATCGTCAAACACCACAGGTTTTTTTTTTCATTTTATAAAGAAAAGTGCAATTCCCATTGAATAAATGATCTAATTTAAGAAAGAAACCTTTCTTCAGATCCCCACCAATCAATCTTCGCAAAAAATTGGCAACTCTTCATCAAAATCGGTTTCAAAATCGGAATCGGTTTTGATGGAGATTTGGCAATGTTTTGCAAAGATTCATTAGTATAAACGAGCTAGTTTAAGAAAGAAAACTTTCCTTCAGATCCTCTCCAATCAATCTTCGATATAAACGAGCTAATTTAAGAAAGAAATCTTTCTTCAGATCCTCTCCAATCAATCTTCGCAAAACATCGGGAACTCTCCATCAAAACCGATTCCGATCATCGGAAAGAAATTGGTGGGAAAAGCTGAAAAGCTTCAAATTAATTACTACTGAAATTTAAAACTGAAAAAAGTTTTGAAAATTTTGTGAAATGAAACAATCATATTTTCAGCAAGATGACGATTTTGGTGGCTCCCTTTCTCCTCCATCACATCCAGCCGCGAAAAGGGGACGAACAAATGGATACGGTCGACCAACGCTCGATCTTGATAAAATGTTGGAACACCGCTTCTCATCCGACAATTTCATTCCCGCTTGCGAGGATGAAGAGAAAAATTGTTTAAAGGTTAGTTTTAAGGTAAAAGATTCAACAAAATTTCTATTCTAACATTGTTTTTAAAAGATAAAATTGTTGCTGTTAAAGGAAGAAAAGTGGTTGCGTGTTTTGCAAAAAAAAAAAAAAAACCTTTACAATATTCAAAAATTCATTAGTGATGGCTCGTGAACATTAAATAATTTTTATAGCTTTCATCGCTTCAATTAACATTAGACAATCATCGTTGAAATAAAGTGCAAGGACTATCTTGTAGAATAAACAATATAATATTAATATTAACTTTTCAGGAGGATTGGTACATCCCGACGGCTTGTCCCCACGGAAACTCTCAGCCAATCCCGTGCGTTCAAGATGGATGTCATTTTCGTCCCGTTGAGATCGATCTCTAAAATGGGTGGGTTTTGGAAATTCGAAATTCGAATTGAGATTCGAAAGCTGACTTGAAACAACAACAAAAACAGTTTTAACTTATTCATTCAAGATTGGCAAATTTGAAAAGATAAGATTGCTTTGCTTTACTTTTTACGGTTTTCATGGTTTACTTTTCATTCGATGCGGGAATAATGATGTTCAATTGACATTAAACATTGAAAAATACATCCAGTAGACCAGTAGACCAGTAGTAGACCCAGTAGACCAGTAGTAGACCCAGTAGACCAGTAGTAGACCCAGTAGACCAGTAGTAGACCAGTAGACCAGTAGTAGACCCAGTAGACCAGTAGTAGACCAGTAGACCAGTAGTAGACCCAGTAGACCAGTAGAGACCCAGTAGACCAGTAGTGACCGTGCCAGAGTAGACCAGTAGACCAGTAGTAGACCAGTAGACCAGTAGTAGACCCAGTAGACCAGTAGTAGACTAGTAGACCAGTAGTAGACCAGTAGACCAGTAGTAGACCAGTAAAAATACATCCAGTAGACCAAACCAATGTGACTTTTATCCATGCAAATTTACAAATCTGAAATGTAAACTGTATTGTGAAAGTTCATATATGTAAATGTAGTAAAAGATTGGCAAATTTGCGATTTACTTTTCATTTGATGAGGGAACGCTCGCTTAATGATAAAGTCAAAACTATCGTTGCCAACTGCCAGCTTTCATTTGATCAATCTATTTTTGCATCATTGACTGAGCCTTGTGAAAATTGGGTTTTTCAAATGTAAACTGGCGTTTGAATTATGGTAGTTTTCGGAAATGGATGCCTTTTAGGAAAAGGATGATTCAAAAAGAGCAGCATTCAACAGCATTCCATAGCTTTTCGTTATCAAATTCAACAGAGAAAAATTGACTTTAGTTTCAAGTTTAATAGAGTCTATTTTTTTCTATTCTATTTCAGTTTCTATTCTATTCAATAGTGTATCGTTGCACTATATAATTCGTCTAACAGAATGGGGATGTCTCGAGAGCGTCTTGCAGTTGCATAGTGTACAAAAGTTCAAAGACAAGTCAGACTTGGCATGGCTAATGACTTGATCTTGATTAGAGCATTCTATTTGAAAAAACATGCTAAAGTATCTTATAAAAGCGGTTCCAGGTGCTCCATCGGATCATTCATTTTCTTCATTTCTTCATCTCCATTTCCGGAAAGGACAGAGTGACTGGGCATCGCGTTTTCACGTCCCCTTGCTCAAACACATCACTACGACACTCCAATCTTCAACTACTTCAGAATTTCGAACAAAAGGATAGAGTTCAACCTAGATTTTCCAACTTTCTAGTCTTCCAACCAATTTTTGCATTCAAAAAAAACGTGATGCCCATCCCTTGTCCTGAATGACACAAAAGAAGTCATCTTTAGACAATCCTCTCTTGCACTCTCGATTTTAGTCCATTTAACTGTTATCCCTCTACGTTTGAAGTCAAAAAAAAGGTGCACTTTTTGGTCTTTTTCTTAAAACCTCTCGAAAAAACCAGGTATTCCGTGGAATTAAGGGAATCAATGTTTCAAAAAATCCATCTGAATTGAGGAAAATTTAGTTGAAATTGAAAATTTAAGGCCTAAATTGAAAACACCGATGTCATAAGCTGTTTTCTGCGGCCCAGGCCAAAGTGGCGGTTTGGCAGAGGGGTTAGCGCGCTGGCCAACGGGGCGCACCCTCGAGGGTTCGAGTCCCTCGTCCGCTTTTTCTAGTCCTTTCTCTTCTTTAGCATGAGGATTTTTTGAAACATTCTTTCTCCAAAACCGCCATCACCCAAATCTCCTAGCTTCGTTTAGTTCAAAAAAAGATTTGTTTTTATTTTCGAATGTTTCTTCACCGGGATCAGGTCATCCATTTCCCCATTCTAATCACGAAATTGATGTGTTTTTGTTTTCTTCACGCACAAACTCTCTGCACTTCCATCTGATAAAACTGGCCCGCGTCGTCTACCTCGATAGTCCTTTGAAAATCTTTTACTTTATTTGAAAGTTGGAGTTGTTTTTTTTTATTATTTTAAACGATTGCCCCATTCTCAGCGCGTGTTTTTCTAGGGTTAGGGGTGATTTTTGAGGAAATTTTTGAGGAAATCTTCCAAATTTTCCAAATTTTCCCCAAATTCTCCCCATTTTCTTTGTTACAAGTACAGCTGTAGTCACTTTTTTTTTTGTTTCAAATCCTCCATTTGTTTTGCCAAATTCAATGGTTCTACCGCCGAATAGCCTCTCTTTTTTTGTTCATTTTTCATTTTTTTACAAAATGGGTTTGAAAATTTTTCACATTTGCTGAAAAAACGAGAAATTTTGCCGGACAAAATTTCAGGCCTTTTCTTTAGAATTTTTCTTTTCTTTATATTTTAAATCATTTTGGAAACGTGCGCTTTTTATATGGTAACCATTTTGGGGGAGTACGATAACTTGAGCACATTTTAGCACTGATACCAGCAGGCTACTGTAACTCTAGGCTACATTAGTGCCTAGAGTCACCAGAGTACTGTAAATAGAGTGTGTTCTAGCATCAGTTTACTGTAGCTAAGTCAAATGGGTACATCTTGGCACTCTAGATACGGGACACTGTATCTAGAGTGACTTTTAATGGACCACGGTAGCTACAGGGTACTGTAATTAGATGGTACTGTAACTGTAACTGTACTGTAACTACAGGGTACTACAGGGTACTGTAATTAGAGTGTAGTTTAACGTCAGTACTGTATCAGCACAAAAACAGAGCACTGTAGCTCTTGAAATGCTTATTTTCTATGGATTACGGTAGTTCAAGTGGACTGTAGGCTCGCGGAGAGTAAAGAGTTACAGTACTCTTTTCTTTGGTGGCTTTGATGGGCTATGGTGGTTGAGGTAGAGTTTTGCATCGATTTTTGAAAGTTCACGATACCTCTAGTGCACTTTTGAATCGATTTTTGAAAGTTTACGATAGCTTAAATGCTCTTTAAAATGATTACTGTAGAAATGGCGGATTCTCGTTTCCTATTCCACATCCCTCGACAGATTACGGTAAACAGCGAGTCAGTTCTACTTTTTAAATTCATTTTTCCTTTCTTTCCTTTTGTTTTCTATTTTTTTTCTATTTTGTTTTCTATTTTTCTATTTTTCTATTTTGTGCACTTTTCCTACAGTAATTCGGTCATTTTAAGCTAATCGACGTTGAAGAAAAGCGAAGAAGTTGTGTAACTGGATTTTGGAATCAAAAAAAAACAAACAGCACTCAGCTTTCCTTCAACAAACCCCACTGTGACCCCTCACCGATAGTCTCGCAAATAATTCCGTTTCAACTTGTGCAAAAAAAAAAACAACAAAATGTTTATGTTTCTGTTTGTGTTGATTTCTCTAGAAATTACGCCTTAGTCTCTTTTTCTTCTTGACTAGATTCGGAGCAATATCCAGCCCCCCTTTAACTACAAAGAAAAAAAACCAGAAAAAAATCGAAAAATAACCCACCCACAAAAGGTTCATCGAAGTTTTAAAAAGATTTTTGATCGAATAGAAAGCTAGAAAGCTAGATAGAAAAGCTAGAAAGCTAGAAAAGCTAGAAAGCTAGAAAGCTAGATAGCTAGATAGCTAGAAAGCTAGAAAGCTAGAAAGCTAGAAAACTAGATAGCTAGAAAGCTAGAAAGCTAGAAAAGCTGTTTCTCTAGCTCAATGAAATGAACTTTTTATGGCTGAATTCTATTTTGTATTTTCCTTTTTTATTCTTTATATTTTTGTTATGCACTTTGTGAAACCGGTATGAGCTCGTCAGGAAAAACAAAAAACTAAAATTCAACCCCCAACGTCCCCTTTGTGAATCTGCGAGTTGATTAGGGGAAATTTGAAGGCCCCTCAACCTTTGAGCGATGGCTCAGTGCCAGTGTGCTCGGCTCTCAGTCGAGAGACTCGTTGCCTACTCGTAGGTTCGAGTCCCCTAGCGACCAAAAAAATTTCCGAACCCTCAGATTTTCCCAAATCAATGCCCGTCAAATACCTCTTCTTTGGAAATTACGGTAATCGAATAGTCGATCGCAATGCGTGTCTCTTTTTTAAACAAAAACTTATAAATCTCGAAAAGCTTAGCAAGAAATACAAAAAGAAAGCTCTCTTGAAAGCTTAGAAAAGCGAAAAGCTTAGAAATACAAAAAGAAAGCTCTCTGGAAAGCATTTTACGAAAGAAAACTATTTTGTTAGTCGAGGGAAATTGAAAGCCAAAAATTCGTAGATCGAAAGATCGAAAATTTGTAGAATTTCCCTCATTCTCTGATGAGTTATTGAGGCTTTCTTCTATAAAAGAAGGCTTTCTTCTTCTATTCTATAAAGAAGAAGAATAGAAGAAGAAAGCCTTCTTTTATGGAAGAAAGCCTGAATAACTCATCAGAGAAAATAACAAAATAATACTTTCGATAAAAAGTTCGCAAAAAATTTTCCAAAAAAAAAATTGCTTTTTAATTTTTTTTCTCTCCGGTTTTCCCCCGGGTATATGGCGTTTAAATAGCGTATTTCTTCGAATAGAAGACCGGGCAAAGAGTATGATTGCGTACTCCTGCGTAGCAGCCCTTTTTAAAATTTCTTTTCTGCATAAAAGCTTTCAATGAAGTGCTATAGGGCTGGAAAATGGCTCAAAAATACGACATGAGCTAACAGATTTTTGAGCCATTTCCCAGCTCTATAGCACTTGATTGAAAGCTTTTATGCAGAAAAGAAATGTTAAAAAGGGCTGCTACGCAGGAGTACGCGATCATACTCTTTACCCGGTCTTCTCTTCGAAGAAATACGGTTAATTTTTTTTCTTGCGAATTTTTGAAACTCAAACTTTTTAAAGGAATTTTGGAATTTTGAAAATTTTGAAAATTTGGAAAATAAAATTTGTTTCAAAAAAAGCGCTTAAATCTCTTCAGCAAAATCGTGCTTCTTTTATGTAAAAGAAACTTTTTGAAAAGTTCTTGCCTGTGGCAAAAAAAATTGTTTTTTTTTTTTATTTTCTCATTTTCTTCTGCTTAGTTTCACGTGAATAGTATCAAAAAAAAAAAAAAAAAACAATTTTCGTGTGCTTTTTCTTCCCGATTCACTGTAATTGTTGTGTGTTTTAAAGTCGAATTTTATCTTCTCTCTTCTTTTCATTTTCTCATTTACACACAAATAACCCACTCAGCCAACGCGTATTTTCTTTTCTTTTTCTTTGTCTTTTTGTTATATTCGATCACCTCGTTGTTGCAAGTAAATAGTTTTTTTGAAAAAGAAATATCTTTAACATAGAAAAATGGATACCGAGGGATTCAAAAGCAAAACAAAAAAGGACACAAGGGGAACAAGGGACACTAGGGCTACAAGGGACACTAGGGGAACAAGGGACACTAGGGCTACAAGGGACACTAGGGGAACAAGGGACACTAGGACACTAGGAGAACAAGGGACACTAGGGGAACAAGGGACACTAGGGCTGAACACAAGAACTAGAAAAGAACAAGTAATGGAACGAAACAGATAATGGAGAATTTGATTCCCATTCAAAAGATCAAGTTTCAACTTTGACAATCAATCGAATCACTATAAGCTTTTAATAAAAAAAACGGGGGTGGGACAAATGCGACCTTTTTTTTGCGCACCCGGACATTTGCGCACTTTTTTCTTTGCTGGAAAAGGCCTTAGGAAAGGTCGTAGAGCTTAAAAAATGTTTTCATAGAAGGGAATCGTATGCGTAGATTCCGAATTTCGACAAATCAGACCTCGCTGACACGTCAAATTTGGGCTAAAAGGCAAAAACTACGCAACTTAACGCTTTTCCGCAGTTTTTGCCTTTTAGCCCAAATTTGACGTGTCAGCTAGGTCTGATTTGTCGAAATTCGGAATCTACGCATACGATTCCCTTACTTGGAAATATTTTCGAAGCTCTACGATCTTTCCTAAGGTCTTTTCCAGCAAAAAAAAGGTGCGCAAATGTCCGGGTGCGCAAAAAAAAGGTCGCATTTGTCCTACCCCCGCTTTTAATAAAAAAAACCACATTTTTAAGGGAAATTTTGGTAGAATCGAGTTAAAGTTAAGTTAAAGTTAAGTTAAGTTAAAGTTAGGGATTGATAGACTCTAGACAAAAACTAAAATCGCATTCGAATTTCTCAACCCCCGGAAACTCACGGAAAAGTTTCCAATCAAACAAGCATCACAATTTCCTTTTTACTTTGGTATTCGATCGTTATTGGATCTATGAGCATTGCAAAGAGCCAGTTTCAAGTTTTTATCGCCTTTTGGGCGGTACTAAAGTTCGTGGAACCCGTGACAAGGCTTGAAAGCTAGTATCGATCTAGAAATTCTCTTTTTAGTCCACTTTGAGCTCAAAGCTTTTGAAAAAGCTATAGCTTTGGAAAATTGAGAGGTCTCTCTCTTTTCCCAAATATTTGGACCACCCACCACGTTCCTTTCCTCATTTTTTTTGCGCCGCAAAAAAAGCCCTTCAAGAGTCGTCAAGAGAAGAACGGGCGAGTGGAAACGGCACAAAAAAAAAATGAAGGGCGAATGGGAAAAAGGAAGTGTGCTTTCCTCCACAATAGTACTAAATGGGGACTGAGCGAAAAAGAAAAAACACTTTTTGAGTCTCTAAAAAATCTCATTTATTATTTATCGACGTTTTTGTGTTAAGCAGAAAACTTTGAGCAAACCAGGATTGGGTTGATTTCATGAACACATTGTTGTCAACAAACTAGAGTTGTATAGATTGCTTAGGGCTTGGATTGATTCAGCTAAAGTTGCTAGTATCCTATCAGCTTTTACATATCGTGCTCAGGGTTTTTCCAACAATAATTCGCAGGTAAAAACCAGGGTTTGGCTGGTCTTCTGGGGCAAAGCCATAATTCTATAGCCAGCCAAGTCAGGCCTGGCCTTGTCTCATTATCAGGTTACGGTCAAAGTTCTTGCAACGACTGGCCTGAACTCGCTTGGCTTTACTGGACCTTTCCTACCCGGCCGACGCGGCAATCCTTCCAATCAGACCCAAAAACTAGCCCTATCCTAGCTTACAGATCCTAGACTTCAAAGAGAATATCCCTGATTGTGTCAGTCAATTTCAATTGACTTTGGTAAGCTTTAGTTTCTTGTGTTCAACCTCAAATCACTAAAGCTTCCGATGAAGCGAGCTGAAAAATGAAAGAGTTCATTAACTAAGTATATTTGGAGTGAACGGTATTATAATAATATCAGTTCCAATGCTTGAGTTTAGAGCTGATCATTGGGTTTATTGATGATTTGCGGAAAAAAAAACCTTGAGCCATTTTTGCCTATAAGCCTGCCAAAGATGAAACATGGCTTTTTCTCTGCTTTTTCCTGTTTTTCTTTTAATTTCAATCAAGTCGCGTCAATCGAAACTAACTAAAAATTTGAGCACTTTTCGAACCACCAAAGAGAAGGATTAACCCAGCTTGAGTCATTCAAACTGATTGTGAATCATACACGCTGAATTGTTGCCAATTTTTCCGTTTTTCTTCACCAATTGAATTTGATGCCAACTGAATGATGATAAATGTGACCAATGCGCCGAATTTCATTCCTCTCTCATAAAATCAATGTCTCCAAAAAAAACAGATTAGTAAAGTAAGGGAAAAATTTCGAGATAAGAAAAAGATCCCGAGAATGAGAAAAGAAAGGAAATAAGGGGGGAAAAAAGAAAATAGGAGATCGCCAGAAAAAAAGATATGTTTCAAGGGGGAAAAAATGAAACGCAAGGAGAAAAGACCAAAGATACTGAAAGGATCTCAGGGACGTCAAAAAATGTTGAGAGATTTAATGCAAACCGACCAAATTTTGAGGTAATTGCACTTTCAATTACTTTTTTACGAGCTTGTTTTTTGAGATTTTCCAAAATCTCCAGTTTTCAAATATAAGACATAGACAAAGCGCTTTCAGAACCTATCAACAACTGAAGCAACTTTTGAAAGCTTTAAAAAATGTTCTGATTCAGCAAAACGTAGGTGAAAGTGACGAAAAAAGGAGCGCGTAACAAACAAAGAGATGATGATTCGTTAGTGTGACTAAAACGGGATGTTGTGTCATAGCATGAATGCACTTGATTATCTCCTTGTCGACGATGCCACTTCAACTACAGGCGTTCGAAGATTGTCCGAAATCGTTGATGCCATAAAATACTCCGAGGAGCCGAGAAAGTGAGAATGAGGAGTTGGTGGAATCAGAGCAAACGATTTCACGGAGCGAATCTTGTCAATTTTTCAAAACATTGCAGTAGATAACCATTTTATGCTAAGCAATTGCGAAAAAATAATTAAAAGTTGAAAACGAAAAATTAATTATAAAAAATGCTTATATTAAGGCTTATCAGACGATAAATACGACATTTGCAAGATCAAAAACACCGAGATGAGGAAACAATACTCGCAATTGACAAGAGATCAAAATAATGTGGGTAAACTATTCCCTAAGTGATCATAAAAATTCTAAACTAGATGAAGTGATAATTCGAAGCCTCTATTGCAATGTTAAGTTCGCTGGATCAATGTAGTTTTTCACCTGATTAGTCGTCGGCTCTAGAAACCAATTTTACTTTTAATGATAAAAGACTAACCATTGGTCTTTGTTTCCGAATCTCGTCTTTGATGTTTGGCTGGTGGTGGTCCAACTCGCACCGCTAAAATAGAGTTGGTATAAACAAACAACTTTATACAACAATATACACTTTTTCCTGATTACACCCAAATCGAAAACTGACCTGTCGGCTGCGCTCCTGTTAAATGCATAGAAGAAAAATTTTGAGGCTTTCCTTGTACTAAACCAAAATGATCCTTAGAAAGGCTAAAAGCAATACCTGCTGACTGAGAGCCCGACGAAGAATTTGATAGTGCTGTGCTCAATCTATCCCTTGCTCTTTCAGTGGCCGATAGTCCCATTTCCGCTTGTCCAACAGGGATAACTCCTCGAACCGATCGATGTATTGCTTGAAGATTACTTTGCAGCTGACGATGTGGTGGCACCAATTGGACAGAAATGGGTGGACCAGGTCGCTGATGTAGTGGAGCTCCAACAACTTGCGAGTGCGGCGCCATCGGTCCAGGTAGCTGACGAATTGAAACCGGCAGTAATGATCCGCCAATCATTGGTTGAGGGGGCCTTTGTGGGATGGGATTGCTCAAATGTGACGCTTGCTGCCGCGAAGCCACCATCAATCCAGAAAACGGAGACGTCACTTGTTGTGGCACTGGGGCTTCAGATTGTCCAAAGTCCTCCGACCTAAAAACAAAAGGTTAATATTTTCCCAAAACTGAGATCACTGGATCACTTAATATTTCAGTAAACAAAGGCTCAAACATACAATCGTTTCCGTGGCCTACTCATCGCAACGACCGGTCGTTGCCTTGGAGGCGGAAGCGTAGGCCTGAGCACAGTTGGTTTTTGTTCATTTTGTGGTAATCTAAAACAGCAAATTTAACATGAAAGACGATAACAAAAGCTTACCTCGGAGGCATGGCGCCACCGGAAACATTCGTTTCACTGATAGATGGAAGCATGAGTGCTGGAGATGGAAGTTGCTCATCCATCGAAGACGAATACGTAGCACTGGCTCGAGCAGCAATCGGACGAGGATTCGCCTAGGACACTTGATAAGAGATTTATGTAAAAAGTGCTTACTTTGAGGATATCTGGATCAATATGGAAAATGTCGTTGAGCGGAACCGGGATGAGCTCAGTTCTTTGTTTACGAGTGACATCCAGATTGAGAAACTCAATCACATGCTCCTAAATTTAATTCGAAGGTTTTTTTTTTTACGATAAAACGAATTAACCATAACAGCCCGTGCCACAACTTTTTGAGTGATTCGCCGATCGACCAAAACTTCGGGCGCTACGCAAAGTTGTTCATTCGCACTACCCACAACAATCAATCCAGAATAATCTGAGAGCAAATGTTGAAAAACATTAGATTTCTTTCAACTCACTAATCATATTTCTTCGCAAGCTGTGCATGACATGTGGATTAAAATCGCAAGCATCCTCGCCAGCTACAAATAGAGTGGGGCAATATGTTAAGCAAATATCATCATCAGCTTCCTAAATAAATTTTTAGCAGAAATTATTTAAAAAGCTCACTCCTCGATTTCCGAATGCACTATGAGTGGGAAAGTTGAAATTGACAATAGCTGAAACACCTGGTGTTGTTTGAACCACCTGTAAACAGAGTTGTAATTGTTTATTTAAACCAAATGATACTCGATGGTTTATGTAGGTGCTGGTTCCCCATCCAAACAAAACAATCCGCTTATTCTTATGATCTTTGACAGCGTGCCGAACCTAGAATTTTCATATACAAGCGTCAATGTTAAGAAAATACCGCTGAGGAGACTTGTTCAATGGCTGTTAACATTGCTTCAGCAATTGTTAAATGATGTCGAAGCGCTGAAAAGTCCAAGCTGACCGTAACAAAATCCGCATTGCACAATTGACTGATCAATCTAAATCCATCTTTCTTTCGATCAATCTAAAGCACGAACTTGTAGGTGTATTCATTAGCCCGATTGCGTTGATCAAAATATTGCTCGTGATAAACGGACGGGTTCACACAAATGGCAATCACATCTGGTAAGACTCGGGACTAAATTGTGACAATTAAGATATGCGCAAAAAGTTTTACCAATGTTGTCCGGTTAAGTTCATCAAGATTGGGATCTTTAATCCTGATTTTGCTGCAAGTGGTCACTGCTTTTCCAATCTAAAGTTGATTATTTTAATAGTTTTAAAAGCCGAGACAAACTTTGATCCAACGCTTAGGAGATTCGACGCTTGAATCATTTGCCGCTTTCTGAGTAATTTGTGCGTTTGTTTCAGCACTTGTTTGCTTTATGAACTTATTCACAATATCGACACTTCGGTTTTTCTACAAGAAAAGTGACAAAGCTCCTTAAAATAAAACAAACCAATTGCCGACTATATCGCATGATTGTGAGATAGCTGACAAGCAAATGCTCTGGCAAGAAAGCAAGCAAATATCGATGCAAACTAACGGATTGTTTGGTTCGCTCCTAAAGTTTAGCGTTGATGATAGTCGACAAGACATACCTTGCTGAAAACCAACATAAGGTCGGCATAATGTACTGCATTTCGCTGACTCTCCACATAGTAAACGCTTTGCCAATTCTGAAAAAGCTTTAATTGGCAATGCCGTTAAAAAACCTCATATCCGTCCTGTTGACATGTCGTTTCGAGTGTGTATTGCGAGCAAACTATTTCAATTAGTCGTTGAAAGCAGTCACTAAATTTTGCAAGTTTAAAACTCTATCTTAAACCTTAGACCGTTTAGTTAAAAAGTCTTGTACAAGCTTCGGTCTGTCATCCAATTCACTATCACTTTCAGCACAAAAGCAACCAGATTTATTTTGAATCACATTGGCCATACCTCAAGGTTCCTTCGACAATCACAGAATCCTTTTCCATTGTAGCATCTTCGTTTTGTGGTTCCTCAAGTCTATAAAACTTTCCACATTTTACCTTTCACAAACTCTACCTTCTGACAAGCTCGATTGCATCGTCAGTAGTCCATGAGTTAGCACCGTCGCCAGACGCATCATCGTCATGTTTATGTTGTGGACGCGGTAACAGTTGACAAATTTTGCGGGCCGTCTAAAACGCGATGTTTTTAATTTCATTTAGCCTTAAGTAATAGAAGTTTGTAAAAACTTGCCATTTTAGATTCTTCCCATGCCCCAGGCTTTATTGGCGGCTGGTCTCGTTGCTTTTCACTCTCTCTCATCAAAAAATTGTCGTTACTTTCAATGTCGATCCTGTCTTCTTCTTTTAACGGTGCCTCGTTGAGATCATAAGAACTAAATAGAAATCATCAAATGCATTATGACAAAACTAACCTATCCATAAGCATTTCGCGGTAGAAAATGTCTCCATTTAAAATTCCTTTGTGTGGGCCAACGATCAACGATTTTTCCCAGCCGCAATTATAAAGCATTTCGTCAAAAGTTATCTAAATGAAATCATAAAAATCAGCAACAAAAACAAACCGCAATGAATTTGCGATCAACGAATCCATTTGGAGGTGGCGTAGCACCTGAGATTACAGATGTTGTCGCAATTTCGGGGTAGCGAAGCGATTGCGGAGTCCCAGGTGAAGCTAGAGCACACATTCTCTGAAAAAGCACATACATTCTCTACAATTTGTCTTTAAGCCACTAACCTCTTTTGTGTTTGAATGACTAAATGCTTGAATAAATTCGCTGAGTGAAGCAGAACCACGAGCAGCATTAGCCTAGACATTATTGATACTCGATTTAATTGAGTGAGCCCCACCATCGTTGCACTTTCCCGGCTGCGATTTGAACTACTGTAATCTTCATTTGAGATAGAGACGTGGAGTGGTTCATGGTTTCCAATAAACTAAACAAAATTGAAAGCAAATAAATTCATTAGGCGTACTCTATTCCGTGCCTCCCGTTTAGATCGACTGAGTGCAAGACCTTCTTGTGGCAAAGCTTGTCGACGATGAATTACCGGTTGATTTTTTCTGAAAATATTTATCGTTGATGCAAATGAATGCTCAAAATATTAACCTTAATTCCCTTGCCTCCCGAGAACGTTCTTTATTCCGTTGATAGATTTCATCCTTTGTCAAAAGCCATGTGTTATGATGTCTAAATAATACAATATAATTGAAATCCAGCGCGACAACTTACACAACTCCATCTTGGCATACTTCAAACAACAACTTGTTGACAACTTGATTTACCGATTGGCCTAAGTTCTCCCAATGTCCATTTGCCAAGCTTGAGAAATACTTTTAATTCTTGGAGATTCTTTTCAAAAACTTACAGCATAGAGCCAATCAATGGTTTTATTGATGGGACATATTTGGGTAAATGGGTCTTCGGTTTTTCCCTGGAAATTTTTATAATAAACCGCTGAATGCCTTTTAGCTCACTTCTTTGGAGATAAAATCCTAAATCGAGGCTGGACGGATAGTGCTTCGTCAGGTTTCATCTCCGGGAGCATCTGGTTGAGATCGCTATCAGCCATTGAGTCTTGTGAGCGGTTGCGCAAATTGTAACTGAAGTTTAGGTAATTAAGGTCTTGATTCGGAATTTACTTGGGCTTTCTGATTAGGACTTCATCGGATCGGACTGGTCGCAGAGGAGAGCAGCTTGCAAGAGTGCGAGCATTTCCATCAACCAATACGTTCTCATTGTCGTGCTTTGATAACTCATCGTTCACGAGTGGAACTGGTTCGTCTTGAGGAACTTCTTCAACTGTGGGTATATCCTCTTTGTCCTGAACGTCCATTAAATAAGCTGGTCCGTAAAAGATACTTTGGGTCCCTCCAGGTCTACGGCCTTCAAAATTTCCGGATCGACGACAATAGTTCTCTCATTGCCCACCGTCACCGAATTTGATCTAGACAATCTTAAACAAATTTTAAAAGCTTTCTAACTCCTCTCCAAGCAACTGTTTCGCAGGCGTAGATACTTCGGGAGTCGGGGCACATTGTTCATTTCTAGAGAAATATTTTAAATTTTTTATCTTGCTAACCTGAACTTTTCGTTTGTTTTTTGTGATGGGGAAGAATTGATCGACTTTTCTTTTCGCTGCCTTTTATGTGTCGGTGTACCCATCAATGGAACATTAACAACCACATCACTGTTTCGAAGCTAAAAAAGCAAGGGTGATGTTTATAAAAAATAACTTACTATGCTACTGGGCACAGGTTTCCGTCTAGATCTACGTCTCGTTATATATTGATCTTGTTTTGATAGCGGACTCTGCATACAAATTAAATTTGAAAACAAATAAAAAAAAAGAACCTTGTCAACGTCCATTGATTCGACGGCATTAACTTTCATTCGTTCAGATTTTGATCGAGTGACATGAGGCGGGTTTTCCACCGTCAAAGACTAAAAGATAATTTTAATCTTGCAAGCAAAGAGACCTCACCTTTTCCAAATTTTCAAGTTCACTGTGAGCCACAGACGATCTTTTCTTTGAAGGTCGGCCTCTTCTCTTCACCGTTTGCAAATCAGCTGCTTGGGCATCGGTATCGATTGGCTCATGCTAAAGCTCAAAATGTTTACTACTTTACTAAAAGTTCAACCTCTGCCGCAATTTCATGTGGTTCCGTGGGTAGATCAACGCTAAAGTAAATAAGTTAAAAGTATTAATCAAACACTCTATACCTTGATGGAATATCATCGTGGATCGACGATGGAGATGACACAACTTCTTTGGGCTCAGCAAGATCTACATTTCCTTCCTAAAACAAAAGTAAAATAGGAAAATGAGCCAAATCCCTATTTGATGCTTATCTCCATTTAATTGTGATACTCACGGACCCCTTACTCACCGAAAAGTCGTCACTCTTTTGTTCGTTCTTAATTGTTCTATCCTCAGGCGGCAATAGTTTTTCATGGATGGTCAATTCGTCGTCCTAAAATCAACTTTGAACAATTAGTTAACAGTCTTCCTACAACCTTCTGTTTGGCTTGGTCACACGTTCGAGAGGTTTCTAATTTTGCTGGTTTCACTTCTAGGGAAGCGGGCTCCGGCTCCGGTGTCATCGTCTTCTCCTCAGTCATTTTTTGCTTTGCCCTAAAGTGCGACCAAGTTAAAATCCAATTAAGCATTAAACCATTCCACTTTTTTCTCAAACAATTGCTTCATAAAGTCAGACATCTCCGGAGTTGGAGAGCGGCGTTTGTGTCTTAATAAACATCGGTACAAAATTGGTTAGCTCAATGCAAACCTTTGCCCTTCAGCGGTCTTTCGAATAATTCCCAGAGCTGATTTAGGATCAACTGGCTTTTCCTTTTGTTGTCTTTTATTCACCACTGGGGCAGAGGCATTGATGATTGACGGTACAGTGACTACCACGTCACCATTTCGAAGCTAATAATATGCAATATTAAATTAAAAGATTTTCTTACAAGGCTACTGGGAATCAATTTTCGTTCGGATCTTCGACGACCACTCTCTTGCTTTTCTGGTGTGATTGACTTCTGAATCGTCCATTTTGAAAGTTAAAACAAGGATATAATACCTTTTCAGGGCGATCTGGTGTTATGGTCTCAACAACGGGCTCTCGTTTTTTTGAGAAAGGGCGTCCTCGTTTTTTCACAGTCTTCACTTCGTTTGCTTGTTGAGTATTTCTGTCCTAAAATGTTCAGCAGTTTGTCGTTTGCAGAGTGTCTTAAAAACAATAACAAAGTTTATTATTTAAAAAATATGCACTTTAATTTTAACATCAGTATCAGCAGTGCTTTGATCCTTGACCTTGTCCTTCCGAAATGCAGGACCAAGCAAATCAGCAAGCGAGAAGGAGGCCTCGTCCAAAGTTTCATTTTGAGCAGAGTTACTTTGTTCGTCAGGCGTGAAGAACGAGAACGAGGCAGTTTTGTTCATTTCTTTTCCCTAATAAAACACGTTTTGGAATGAAAAGGAAATCCCTACCAAATCCATTGAGAGAGCATCATTCACAATATCTTTCAACAAAGGGCATTTTGCTTCAGAAGTTTCAGCGTCAAGTTGCTGACTTTGTGCTTCTTGTGCTTCAGCGGTGGTATTTCTTGGTCGCCTTGTGTAGGTAGAAGGCAAATCCTAAAATGTTAGGTAGCAATATTCCAAACATAAAATTAACCTTCATTGTGAATGGCGCTTCTTTATCTGATGCTAATTCTTGTTTCGCGTGCTTCTTCGCCTGGACGCCAAGAGAACGCAACTAAAAAGAGTTTTAAAAGCACCCAACAAATTATTACCCGAATGCCAACTTTCTTGATAGGACGTCGCCCGCTAGTTTTGCTTTGACTAGAAGCCTCATTCACCTATAATTAGTTTAAACTCTAATAAGTTTAAATGTGTGCTACCAGATCTTCCAAAAGTGGAACACTGACTTTGCTATCATTTACAGTAATAAAGCTAGATTGGCCTTGCTCATCTTTGGGCTCTTCTTTAATGGGGTCTAAATTGTTTATCATTTGCATAAGCTAAAAAAACTAACCTGTCCTGACAGCTTGACTTTGTTCATCGTTGGGCTCTAAATTTGTTTATCATTTGCGTAAGATAAGAAACTAACCTTTCTTGACACGTTTAGCACGTGGTTTTCCCTTTCCCCAATAACTTTCAGCAGAACTGGTCCCGTGAAGTCGAGTCTAAATACTAATTCAGGGAATCAACCAGTTACAGAATACCGGCACTTCTTTAGAGAAATACGAAGGCAACTCGAAGTTAGATGAAGGCAAATTTCGAAGGGTGGGTGTTGCAAGGAAATCGCTGTATGAATTCTGAATTAGATCATGGTTTATTTACCCTGTAAAACACAAACAAACCACAACAGCGCGGTTTCCATCCAAAGCAAAACATGGTGAATTTGGCTGATCCGCAGTATGCGGTGAGTATCTAAACATTCAAATTTTACTTGAAAACTACCAACAATACCTTGGTGCAGCTTTAGACTTTCGACGCTCTGCGGCTGGAAGGGTCGGTGTTGCAAAACCAGATGAATCCTTGGTCGAGCTTTCTCTAAAAAATGCTTAGTGAGATAGAATCAAAACAATATAAGATATAAATTTTATACCCAGTTGCTCCTTGATGAATTGAGCGCCTATTGTACGCAGCTGATGTGTCTGGCGAAAATTCTCGCTTCAGTTTTCGCTCACGGACTTCTCTTTCTAAGCAACATATGACTAATACTAGCACAAAAATAGATACTTGGAGCTAAATCTTCCAAAGGCTCTTCCCGCGAAATCACAGAATTGCTTCGTGAAGCGTGACTTGCTCGTCTTGTTGCGTCCTTTTCAGCTGTACCACCTATAAAACAGTTTTGTTAGGTAAAAAGAAGGGGTATGTCAACCTGAAGTCAATCTTTCTACGGTGCTTGATCTAGAAACCGTGCGCCGTTCACTCGTCGACGTTCTAAAATTTAAACTTTATTCAACACAAGAAAGATTACATAAGTTGGCCAAGAAAAGTTGTTAACGCAAAGAAAATTCACTTCTCATCTTCGGGCCCAATTTCTTCAATGCTACCACTTTTTGAAATGTCGGATTGAGTCGCATGCTCTTCGTCCAAATTTTGATCCATTAAGCTAAAATGTTGGTACTTTGGTGATTGGGAGGGGGCACTTTTGGCTTGCTTAGTCGGATCTAGTATTTTAAGCGATTCATCTCGATATTTTGTGTCCTAGCCTGCTGTACTTTAACCACCGAACGTTATCTCAAAGCTGATTGCACTTGGAAAGCTGCAATACTAAATTGAAACTTGCTGGAAATACTAAAAATTAGCAAAATTAAATTAGCACCAATTGCTTCAGCATATCTAATTATCACGGACTAGAAGAAAAGTATCGACAAAACCCCTCAAAACACTATATTCGATGAAGCCAAGCCAAAAGTGGCCCCTATCAACATCCAAAAAATTACACTGATTATAGAAAAGTAACAATAAAAAATGACAGAATGGAAGTTTCCGAAGGGAAAATGAAATGAATGAGAAAAGCTTTTTCTCGCATTTTCCAATCCTCACACAGAAAAGCGAGTTTTACTTGTTCAACTGAATATCTTGTCAATGGATTTCAAGGTATAAAGTGAATGGTATGAATGCGAAAATCTCCGTCTCCTTTCTCACAAAGTTCAGCCGCTTCTCGAACTCTTGTTAGTTCACTAAGAAAAATTCAAAAATTGTTGTTTGTCGTTTCTCATTTTTTGCGAACATACGTAATTTTGTATCGTAATCGTTTCTTTGGCGACAATTGCTTCGCTTTGGGACACCGGCTCTTTTGGCACACTTTACCTTTGATATGACTATCTTTTTAAAGTTGCACGCTAGCTTTTTTATCTTTACGAGTTCTAAAGATATAAATTGTTTTGTTTTCGATGTTTTGCACATTGTCACATTTCCTATTTTCAGAATGATCAAGGGCTTTCAAACGATCAACAAAAGACTTCAGCCGTTGCTTTTTCGAAGATTTGCAACTACTTCAGGTTTGGTTTAATTTTTTAACTAAAATTCTGTTTTGTCTCTTTAGCTGAACCGCCAAAAGAGCGACAACAGTATGAGGAACCATGGAAAAATCCCTGGAAACATGCTCTGCCGCCACAAGGTGACATTTGCCTTTATTTTGTGAAAGATTTATTTTTTAGAGAAAACCTTCACAGACTATGAAGAACTTCAAATCGACTTTCGACTAGTCGAGGAACTTTTACCAAAAGAGGTAGAATTTATCATTTTTTCCAGAACATTCTTATTTCTAGACAATACCAGAAGTGCCAAATCATGAAAGCTACCCAACACCAAGCGGCTGGAAACCACCTCTCGGTAAGCATTTGTTGTGCAATTTATATCGATTTGTTTGTTTAGACCCGCCACCAAATCTTCCGTATTACGTGCGAAGACGTCGCGATCACGTTTTTCCGCTTTACCTTGAAAGGCAAGTTAGTATTAAGCTTGATTTCTCTATGCGATTTATTTAGAAAACGCGATATGCTAAACGAAGACACACTGGACTTTGATTATGTCGAGTTGGTGGCGGTACGAAATGTGGAAGGGGATGTTTTTGTAAGTTTTGACGTTAAAAATAAAAATTTAAAATTTAATAAATGAGATTTCGAGCAAATATTAATGTTTTAGGCTTGCGAAGCGGATTTGAGAGCGTATCTCGAAAACAAACTTAACCATCCCGTTGCTACGCACGTTGACGAAATAAAGGTTTGCCATTTTTCTATTTTTATTCGTACATACATCAATTTTAGGGCAGAATAAAGGTCAAAGGAGCCGATCGTTCCGCAATTGAAAGTTTTCTCTTTGATAAGGGCTTTTAAAGGTTTTTTCATTGTTATTTTCGAGATCTCATTTAGGGTTTATGAGGCGTTACATAGAGTGTGTTGTTTTTTGTTAATTTTTATGTTTTGTGAATAAAGTTTGCAATTTAAAGCTTTGATTTTGGAGAAAAGTAACAATACACTCTGAGTCAAGAGTACCCGAGTGATATAAAATATTTTTGTTTGCAAAAACATGAAGGATTATGGGCGGTGCTCATCTTTTATGATTTGTTCAAAGTTGTGGTAAAAAAAACTCGTTCACAGAGACGTTTTCATTGACATGGGCGTGTGCACAGGGGCAAAAAGAACGAATTGAACGAATCTCGAATTAGTCATCCTTGTTAGCGAAAAAGAAAAAGAGAATCGATGGGGAAAGCAAAGAAACCCCCTCAATATTGAAAGTTTGCAATAGTTTTAAAATGCCTAAATTTTATTCACTTCATTGTTGCGTATCAAAACAGTTTAACAAGGAAAAAAGTGAGACTTGGGACTATACAGTAGCTCATCTCTTCTTTCTAACATTCTTTTTCCAGGGATTCGCAAAGAAGAAACGAAATCGATGCCTGCTTCTGCTGGATGCACAAACTGCTCTACGAAATACACGCTCTTCAACAAAGAAGTAAGCTTTTTCATCATGCAGTTCCTGTTTTTGGAGTTATTAAAAAGTTAAATTTTAAGGTTGGATGCCCAGCCTGCCACTTTTCCTTCTGCAAGAAATGCCTCTCACACAAAGCGCATCTTCCCGGATCAACAAAGGAATCCATTGTTTGCATTAAATGCTACAAGTAATTTCTACAGGTCAAGCTTTTTAATCAGAAAATCTTTAGCAAACTATCCCATCCAACCTCATCGAAGCCTCAGCAACACGGCTCATCTGGGCATGATGCACCAAATCGAATGGTATTTTTTAAAATTCTTTGTAATTTTTGAAATTTATTTGTGTCTTTTTAGTACCCTTCCATTCACGCTCCTTCCTCATCATCTGCGCAACCGCCTCAAACGGTAGTTTCTTTTTTAATCGTTAAAATGTAAACTTTACCTAGGCTAATTGGTGGGGAGAAGGCCTTCCACCGGCATCAATGCGCGTGGCGACAAATCCCAATCCATGGAATAATGTTCAACAAAAAGTTTGCCGATGATTTATCATTTTTTAAATGGCTTTAGATACAACCTCAAGTTAATTCGGCACATTTGGATCCCTTAGAAAAGCGCTTGAATGAAGTTCGACAAATTGAAAGTGGTTTTCAAAAAATGTTTTAACTGTTTTTTTATCCACGCCATTTTAGCTCATCAAAGTCCGCACGAAAAAAAAACGCCAACTTTGTCAGAGATTGAGGAACGTTTGGCGGCGTTGAGGGGGTGCGATGTGGAATTGGTTAGGAACCCGCGTGTTGTGAGTTTTAAGTTTTTATCTTCATTTTAGAAATTTCAGTGGTTTGACAGCAAATCCGACGAGCCGGTGGAAAGCTCGACAGTTGACGGGCTACTGCGAATGGCCTATGATCGAAATCGAATCGAAGAGAATCGAGATCGAGAATTGGAGGAACGATGGAAACGGTAATTTGTTGTCGTTTTAATGGTTTTGAAATTTTCTTGCTTAGAATCAAAACACGTGGAGATGATTTAGCAACCGGGGAGCAGCCTGTTAATCCTGAAGATTTTAGTGGTTTGCTTAAAATTTTGATGATAAAGCAGGAAATTTTAGATGATCCAACTCGCTTTTCTACGATATCGGCCGTTTCGGGAAATACGGAGTTCTCTGAAGCAACCAAAGATGAAATGCAACAAATAAATGGTACTTAGCTAAAGTGTTATAAAAAGTCCACACAATTTATTTGGTTTCAGATTTGATGCTGAACGCGCAAAAGAGCATCAAGCAAAGCCCACACCCAAAGCCCACCGAGGACGAGTTAAACAACGAAGCAAAAACGATTCTGGCTGAAAGTATGTTGTTTTTGTGATACTTGAGAGCATTTTGACATTTGAAAATTTGGGTGAGCATTTGTAATTTGCTATTTCTAGCACGTCAAAAGTCATTGGACATCGATAAAGTGAACTCGGAAATAGCGAATTGTTACAATCGACGAATCGATAACGTGAAAGTAAGCTTTTTAAGACATTCACTAGTTAACAACATTTTGAAACTTTTTACTCCTATTTACCTTTAGTTGGGTGATGATGATCGATCTTCTTCATCGGAAAGCTTGGATGAGGCGACGCTTCGACAAATTATGGAAGAAGCCGAGCGGGCTGAAGATGAAAACACGACAAATGAGGTTTCTTTTAACAAATGTTAGTGTTAGCTCTGTTAGACACAAGACTTTGCATCCTATTCAAATTATGGATCTCCAAAAGTTTCATTAGGACAAACCATTTCCCAGCTATCATTTCCACAGGTACGGCAAGAGATGAATGATTGGAGAAACAGGGGAAATCCATCCGGTAGCTCTCCTTCGAAAGAAAAAGGATTTTTAAGGATGATCTTTAAGAAATAGATTGTGTTTACTTGATGAATCTCATTTTCTTTTTTGTACATTGCCTTGAGATTTGCTTGTTTGTCTGTGATTTTGTTCTACATATGTGATCTTTTGCAAAAAAAATGTATAAACTCACAAAATGCTGTCGCCAAAAATAGCATCAAAAGCTTACACTCATAGAAGTCGTCATTGAGTGATGGATCAAGTTACCCAGACGTCAAAAAAGACGATGCAATCGCAACGAGATATGGGTACTACGGGGTGAAAAGGTACTAGATCGACTAAATGATCGACATAACTTTATAAAATGGGTGCCTCTTAGGAAAATATGTGCGCATGAATAAAGAGGAACACAAAGCCTTCCATAAGTACCAACCATAGCTCCAATTTTTGCCATTTTAAACACAAAACTTTGTACACTCAACTAGCCAACTAGCCTTCTCTCTCTCCCAATTTTAACCCGCTTTCCAGCCTCAGACCCCGTGAAATATTGGCTCCCGGATTTTTTGGCCGCAGCTGTGAGTTTAATAATTGGATTCGAGTAGTATATTGGGACGGGTAAAGAGGGAGGCTTCAAGAAAAGAAAATCCCTCAAAATATTCACCGATGGTCAGATGAGAATCTCGAAGACAACAATGATTATTTTTCTCATGGTTTGGCTTTGGAAGTAGGTTTTTGAGTTGGGTACCCGTGTATCTAAAAAGGATTAATGTTGGAACCAACTCTAGAGTAACACTTTAATTGAAACTTTACTGTTATTCCCTGTTTTTTCTTTTGAAAAAAATCTAGATTTTCTAGAAGGTGCAAAGTGTTTTGATTGCTCTTCTTGCTTTTTGCCTTGTCCGTTCAAAAGCCATGTGTTTCAAGCTTTGACACGGCACGAAAAAGATGTCGTCGGTTCGCGAGATAAACAAATTTCCTCGACAGCGGGGCACACGGGGATTTTAGACAAGAATCCACCCGACAACGGAGAAATCTTTTCATTTTTGAACTCTGACACTCGTTTGATTTGATGGTGATTTGAGCTAGACGACTTCTTTTGATTCGTTGATTTGAATTCTCGCATACTGTAGGGAATTAGTGTCTTGACTTTTTTTCATTTCTCCTTAACTAGTTTTAATTCGTTGATTTGTAAATTTGCAATTTGAAAAATTTGCATATCACGCTTTGGATTAGTTGATTGATTATTCTATTCTGCTATTTTGTTGTCAAGTTAGTTGAAGCAATGCATATCAACATTTAGAACTGAGTCACAAATTTGTTAGAGTACGCTGTACGTTGTCTAGCTTGAAACATTGGGGGCTAGACTTGACTAGATTTGTATAATGCTCTCTGAATTGTTTGAATCTCTTTGAAATCTCTTTGAATGTTTCCTAAAACGTGTTCCTTGTCTCTTTCTACCGTAACATTGTCTCTGTTTTTATCCAATCTATCTACTTTTTGCCTGATTTCAAGAAGGTTCACAAGTAGAGTGTGCTCATGTTTTCTAAAAAGTGCTAAACTACCGTAATCTTGCAGTAGAAACTTATTTTCATTTTCCAAAGTCAAAATGAAGTGTAACTATTGCTTTTTTTCTCTATTTTTCTATATTAATCTTTAGATAATTTTGAAAAGCATAGCATATATAGAAAATGAGTAACGGCTCAATGAATGGGGTAAAATGAGTAACAGCTCTCTTTCTTTGTTGTGCTGCTTCCTGAAGTTTCTTTTCTTTCGTCTTCTTTCTTACGTTCTTTCACTAAAGAAAAGCAATTAATTCTGGTAGATTTTTAAAATATCGAAAATATACAGAAAAAAACTGTCCTGGCACGTTGTTCGTCTTTTACTCCTTTGGTTGACCATCTTCTTCCGTTGTTCGTTGTTTTTAAAAATAAATACTTGTTTAAAACTATAAAATTCCAATAAGGATAGAAAAAAAAGAAGTAAAACTTTCAGAAATAAAAAAAGAAAAGTGCAAAAAGAGTGTTTAGAAAAACGCGCTTTTTCGAAAATGACTTTGCTAACGAGCACCTTTTAGAAAACATGATTTGAACGATTTGAGGAAACAGAAGAAGGAACGCATTTGAGAGGAACACATCCTATTCATATTTGAGATTTGAGAGGAACACATGCTATTCACAAGATACCTGTGGCGAATTGCCACTGCTCCGCAGTTAGTCAAAAATTCAATACACAAGTTAAAATTCAAAGTTGATGGATAAACTACCGTAATCAGTCACTAGACGATATTCAGCTGTCCGTTTTTTGTAGCTTGTATACTGAAAAAAACCCGTTATTTAAGCTTTGCTTTTTGAGCGAGTTTGTGGTTCTCCTTTTTTGCTTTTTATCATCCTTTTTTCACATGCAAGTGTTGAATTAATTGTGATAGTGCCAAGTTGCTCCAGTTTGAGCGAAGTTGCCCTAATAGGGGAAAGTTGGATAAATTGTGAGTTTTCAAGAAGGTCACTATTGAACCACACCGAGACACGGTCTCACAAGAAATTATATAGATCAAAACATCAACATATATTTCTTACAATATCAAAAGATTCAAAAAGTAGATAGATTGGATAAAAACAGAGACAAGGTTACGGTAGAAAGAGAAATGGGACACGCTTTAGAAAACGAAGACTTCAAAAGGCTTATAGCCAAATCTGCAAGGCGTTTACACCTTTAAACTTTGAGCTAGAGACTTCTTTTAAGCTTAAATCTTCAAAGGTACCCTAAAGTCGCGAGTATAAGTTCTGCCTTAATTTACATTCTCTTTAATTGCTTTGAATTTCTTTTTGTTGGGTTTTTATACATTTTTATTGTTATATAAACTTTTATTATTGTTCTTGGAGCGCGGGATACTACAGGGTGACAGCCTATCACCATTGCTTATTTGTTATGCGCATGGATACATCCAGACGATAGTTTTGAAGAAGAAGCTTCTCTTTCGACCGTCGACGTGGACTTTGGCCGGATGAAGAGGCCAGGGAGGGATCCATAAGACTGAGCACTGGAGAGGAGCAGGGCGGACGCGCTGAGCCACGCCCGGAGCAACAAATAACAGCATAAAATTGCTATAACCCTCAATAAATTTACTTCTATTATTGTTCTTAAAAAGCAAAAAAAAGTTATGCTGCAGCGGGGTTCGAACCCTCGACACACCGCACCGGAGACAGCCGTCAATTTGCATGCGAAAACCAAACAGAACTTATACTCGCGACTTTAGGGTAGTTAATCCAAAAAATACCCCTTCTTGCACTCTTGCAAACAATGAAAACACTCAATTTCCCTCCCTTACTTTTCTTTCTTTTTCTCACGGAACTCGACGTATTCAATCCACCTAATTTGTTCTCTTTTTCGTTGTGAAACGAGAAAAATCTTCCTTGAATTCTTCTTTCGAAAAAAAAGAACACAAAAAAGGTCCAATTTCTTCGCCCAATAGGGAAATTGACCGAGGAATGGACTGGGAGGAAAAGGGCAAAAAAAGACTCCAAAAATTTGCTCTCACCAAAAATAAACGAAGAGGTTCGTTATTTCGAAAAAAACGAAACGAAGAGCCACACTCAAATTTGTCGATGAGCGCTTTGGAAATGCTTTTTGAACTCCTCCAATTTTTGCTGAACTCCTCCAATTTTTTCTGACCTCCAAAATTTGTTCATCTTTCCCTCCTCAAATTGGATCCTATTTTTTCGTGGACCCAATTTCCCATTTAAAACTTTCCCCTTCTAAAAGTTTAAGCTTATTACTTTTCTCTTTTCATTACATTTGAAATTTTCCATTTTTTTTTACCGAAAAATTGAAACTTGAAACTTTCAATTCTTATGAGGTGATTGATTTTTGAAACTTGAGTTTTGTATGACAAGGCTTAGCGTGAGTTATCGAATTTTATGAGCTTGAGCCGCTTAACTCATCCATTTAGTCAGTTAAGTGTAGAAATGTTACGGGCTTTTGACATTGCTTGAGACAGACCCACTCAGTAGCCAGATCCACGTTGACTGGTTGACTGCCATAAAGCCAGGTCAGGTCAAGCCCAGACCTGTAACTGTAAGCATGCCCAGACTTGTGCTCAGAAATTCCCTTTGAGCCAAGCCTGCACTAAAACAAGCAAGCCAGACAAAGCCAGAACCGGAAAATTGCTTTTAGAATTGACTCTGGCTACGTGATTTGTCATTTCGTACTTTCCTACATAATTTCACTCAAGCATCGATTCAACATTTCGTTTATTACTTCCTGTTCACTAATCAACAATCCACGTTTCCATCAACAATCCACGTTTCCATCCAGAATCCACGCTTCCATCCACAATCCACGTTTCCATCAACAATCCACGTTTCCATCCAGAATCCACGTTTCCATCCAGAATCCACGCTTCCATCAACAATCCACGTTTCCATCCAGAATCCACGCTTCCATCAACAATCCACGTTTCCATCCAGAATCCACGCTTCCATCAACAATCCACGTTTCCATCCAGAATCCACGCTTCCATCAACAATCCACGTTTCCATCCAGAATCCACGTTCCATCAACAATCCACGTTTCCATCCAGAATCCACGCTTCCATCAACAATCCACGTTTCCATCCAGAATCCACGCTTCCATCAACAATCCACGTCTTCCATCAACAATCCACGTTTCCATCCACAATCCACGTTTCCATCCAGAATCCACGTTTCCATCCAGAATCCACGTTTCCATCAACAATGCACGTAACGCATTGTAATATTAGATATAATTGAATATAACCGTCCGAGACTTTTCCTGTTGCTGATTTTAAAATTTCCCGCTTTTTGCTTGGGACCTTATCTCATTAATCTTATCGTTGAACTTTTGGAAATCCGAAAATTGAAAGGATTAGTGTGGAGGTCAGCTGTTCAATATCGGTTGCATTTGTTTCCTCATAGTCATCGAGTTTGAGATGTGAGGCGTCACTCTTTGGTATTGATAACCAGGAAATACTGAAAATCCTTTACACTTGAGATATCTTTTTGTGAGGCGACCAAGGAAAGAAGGAAATAATAGTTAAGTTTAGTTTCCGAGTTGAA